GTCTGAGAGGCGGAAAGAGAAAGCATCTCCTCCTGAATCAGTGCTGGATCCCAATGTGTATTCAGGCAATAATAATAATAATAATAATATCAAATGTAATATGGTCAGGGAAAAGCAAGAGGACCCCTGAGGGCTGAATCTGGCCCCCAAGCCTTAGTATACATCCTCAATCTACAGCATCCTCACTAACTGAGGGAAGGAGCAGCCAGTATTTCTCCACAGCATCTCCTTGCTCACCCTTGCTCTGCTCTTAACCGTGTCGATGCACTTAGGCCACCCTTCCCAAATACTTTGGTGTCCTTCTGCAATGAAGCACACATACCCCAGTTTATGTTGAACAAACACCTCTTGGTCCTCACCCCACCCAAAACTCACCTCTGGCGGGATCTCCCATTGTAGCTTTTGTGGTGGGGGGATGCTGGAGTCCATGTCACCTTTGCAGTTCCCATTAGAATCATATCCCAGTGTGAATACATCTGTGGCAAGGGTGTACTGTGAAAGCAGGGAGACCAGGTCAAAGTTCAGCTGTTTTGCCTCCTTTCCTGGCCCTCTTGCTCTAGGTCAATACCTCCCAACCTCACCCCAAGAGACCTTGTTCCCAAGCCTCTCAGTTCCAATCCTATCTTAGAGGACTGAACTGGGCCTTTACCTCCCAGAGATGGCCAACAATGGGTGCATCAGCCCAGGAGTGTTCTGCATTGATTCCAGACTTCCCATTGCGATAAACAATCAGTGTGAAAGACTTGTCAAACCACCTGTAGGAAAAGAAGAGGATTTTTGTCAAGCCACCAGCAATTTGGATTCTCACTGTAAAAAGGCAATTGACCCAACTCCCAGCAGTATCCACAGGGAAAAAAGGGGTGCACAGGCTAAACATCAACCCGACAAGGTAGGCTGTCACCACCCCTTATGTCTACTTCATCCTGAGCTGGGAGACTCTCAGACCTTACAGGCTGACTCCTAGGGCTTAAAACATAAAGGTCCAAGACAGAACGCTCTATTTCAAAATCCTAGACCTGAAGCAGTTTGGCTGCTGCTGGAAAGCAAAATGTACAGGTTTCTCCAAGCTTGATCCCAGGAGGAGATTTTTTATACTGTATTTGCTGCAAAGGAAATGGCTGTGTTCTCACAGCAGACTTACCCCTGAAACTATGGCTTCTTGGCAAAGAGGGATCTGGTTGGGCAGAAATGCACATGCCAGTACATATGCACTTGCACACACATGCCCCTGGCATGCTGTCCAGAAAGAATGCTAACAAAGGCACAGAGAGGCTCAGAGTTAGAAGGGTCCAGTGGAAAGGTAAATTACAGCTGCAACAAGTGAGAAGTCCCTTCCTCGGGACTTACTTGGTGGGACTTATTTCTGAGTAAATGTGTGTAGGATTGTCCTGCAACTCAAGAGCAAGTTATCCTAGGTTCCAGGTTTGAATGTATGTGACCGTGTGGTGCAAGGGAGAGAGGAAGAAGGGCCACAAGCTGAAGATTCTACTAGGTATAAAGCGGCAGGAAAAAAAACCTAAGTTGAACTTGAAGGATTCCAAAGTGGAATAGCTGGAAGGGAATTTTTCTAAGGTTTGACAAATGCCTTTAGGTAGAAATGCAATACAGAAGCATAAAGAAGGACCACAGGGGAAAATGCCTCCTAGCTTTTCTTCAGAGCAGGAGTGATGACATTGTTTCCTAGACTGCCAGAATGATTGATAGTTCTCCTTCCTCTGGCTGCTGAGCCAATAATGAAGCTTTCAAGTTTTACCATTTTTTGTGGCAGATTACCATAAAAGAGGTCAGAGAATGAGCAGACTGGACACTTCTTTCCTTTTCTTGGCTAGCTTCAACTTTGCTAACCGTTTCAGTGGCAACACTTGTTTGCAAGACATTTTAATTTACAAGTTAAAAGCTGCATATCCGCTGGCAGAAGTCATTTCATTAAAAGCCTGTGTGTTTTAAAAGTTGAACCTATACCATCAGAAGTAAGCAGCACTGAGTTCAATGGTGCTAACTCCCAGCTAACTATAATACGATTGTGGTCATGCCCCATACATTACAAAATTCTATGAGTAATTTATTTGTTTGTGTGATGTGTATGCTATACAGGTTTTAATAACCAGAGTGCTGGACAAAAAAAAGAAAAAAGCAGGATATAAAAATATCCTGGGAGAATAGAACCATGGATTCTTTGGGATGGGATGGCATGGCTATGGAAGCTGCTTAACTGAGCTTCTGCACTTCAACATGTCAGCACTGGAAAATGAGGGCTATCTCTTTGATGAACAAGGAAGGCGCAAACTCTTGCAAAAATATCGGCAGGTGTCGCCATACCAAGAGGAAATTATCTGGGAATCTTCCTAACGACAGGGTCCATGCAGGCACAGAGCCCATGTGTGTGATGCACCGGGACCGCCCAGAATTTCCTGGAGGAACTGGCATTCTCAGGCGTGAAATGTGTCTCTGTGAGTTGGGCCAGGGTGGAGATATGACTGTTTGAGCTCCCCAGGGCATGCCTGTTTTTAGGGCAGAGTGAATGGGGTCCTCACAGGCTGGCAAGCTTGAATGTGAAGTGTATGCAATGCATTCAGGGCAGCCCAAGAAGCACCCACCTGTCACAGCAGCGCCCATGCAAAAGCGACTTGGCGTAGGTGTCCAGTGCATAGCCTGGATTGGGTCCTTGCAGCCCCTGCTCACTGGTATCCAGAGTGACAAAGAAAGCAGCTTTCTCGACTATGCTCAGCGACTGCTCGTTCTTCCCCGATTGGAAGTAGGTATGGCGGGCTTGGGCCCAGGGGTCCCTGCAAAGACAGCCAGGTAGCTGTGAGAGAGGGGTAGCGATCTGGGCAGCTGACAGACCAGTATGGGGGCAGTAGATGGAAAGTTAAAGGATTTGGGGGTGGCTTTTCATAAATTAACGGAGGAGTCAGCTTACTCCCTCCTTGCATCCTGTCCTTGGAATCATCCTGTAGAGGGTGTAGACAGTACAGACAAGCCCCAGAGAAAGATTGGGACAAGAGCAAGGAAAATGGGATATAGAAGGAGAGGAATGGAGGACCGGTTGGAGTCATCCATTAAGCAACATCTTCAACAGCAGCACCACCATTCTTGTTGTATGGCAGTAATGTAATGTGGGATGGAGAGAGCGGATCCTGCTCCTCAGTGGAAGAGCAAAGATAAGCCCGCTCTGACCACTTCTCCTGCCTAAGCAGGGCCCATGTGTGAGGCAGTCCACACCCTTCTTCAGGATTAAAATACGTAGAACAGCATGAATCCCTCGTGTTTCCCAAAATAGGTGGGTTACATGTGAATCTGCCCCAGGATAGAGGCACAGGGATTTCTCGCTTTAGAATCAGTTCATATCTGAGGATTAAGGAAGGGAGTCCTTGATTCTTTCCCTCAGTTCTGAACTTAATAACCTGAGAAGTTGTACAAATTCTCAGGGACAACCAACCTTTTAAATCCTACCTTTGGCCTGTGGTAGAGAGCACTTTTTCTGCTGAGGGCTACATTTGCTCAGAAGTAATCTTCAGGGGTCACATGATGGTAGTGGACCAATCTAAAGCTAAAAGCGGGCAGGGCTTGCAACACTGCAGAGCTGCGTAGCACATGCATTCACTTGTTCTTTGTGCCACTCCATCTCTTCCTCTTTCTCTCTAGGTCACCCCATCTCTCTCTTGCTCTTTCTCTGTCTCATCTATGAGCTGCGTGAAATTAGCCTGTGGGCTACGATCAAATAAACCAAGGGCCACATGTGGCCTGCGAGCCACTGGTTCCCTACCCTGCTGTAACAACTGGGGTCCCAAAGGGCTGTCTCTCACCTGTCAGCTGCGGTCAGGGATGGCAGTTTCTCCTCCCCTGGCAGAGGTGGTGTGGGATCTGCTAGGATGAACTGAAACTGTGCCTGAAGCTCGCGTGGGTGCAGCAGCCTCCCATTGTGGTACAGCCAGACCCGGAATAAGCGCCCAGCATGGTACACTGCAATGTGCTTGCTGTCCTGCAGATGCTGGATGCTGTCTAAAGAGTGAGGAATGTAAGCATGTAGGAGGGGCAGCTGGATCAGATTAAAGGTCCATCTCATCCAGCATCCTGCCTCCTCCCACAGAGGCCAAGCAAAAGATAGGAAAGGATGGCGAGGGAGGGGGTCATGAGCAACAGTTTTGCACAAGAACTCAAGTTCAGCCATGAGCATTTCTGGTTAAACAGGGTTGCAAGGGGATTGCTTATATCCAAGGAAGACCAAGAGCAATGCTCCAGTATCAAGCAAGCCTGTGGTCAAAGCAAGACATTTCTGAGCCAATGGCCAAAGTTCCAAGAATGGGATGTCGCCACAACAATGACAAGGCTAAAGTTGATACCCAGTTTCTCTTTACAATTTCCAGTTGCCAATTTGATATAAAGGCATGCAGACAAAACCTGACCAAGGACTGGCCTGGGTTCTAAACAACCAGTGTACCCTAAAAGAGGTGGTGGAAAATTGCTCCTAAATAATTTGCAAGTGCCGTTGCCTAGCTCTAATGTTTTTAATTCTTTTGCACATCCGTCTTGAGATTTACTGAAGATATAAAACAGTATGGAAACATTTTAAATAAATAAAATCGCCATCTCACCAGGAATTGCTCTCAATGAGCTCCAACAAAGGAATCTGTTGGTCCCAAAACCGACTGGGGGGTGCAGAAGGCACTCAAGCAGGGTTTCCTTATCCTTTGCATTTAAATCATGACTACAAATAAGGATCTGAAGGAACAGCTTGAAGATAGACAGACACCAATTTGAATGTGAGCTAAAATTAAAACTGTACTCTGGGAAGTACAGTTAGTTGGATAAGGAGCTGTAGGGTGTGGGCAGAGAAATCCATTTTTGCCACCTCTGAAGTACAGGGAATATCTGGCCTGCTGGCTTGGAATGATCCAGTTTGGTACTTTTGGAGGGACTCAGACTGCAGGAAGCCTCACCTCAGTACACAAGGCTGCTGTTGGCCTGCCAAAGCACCTGTAGGCTCAGTGAGCAAACACACTGGGGAAGACAGCTGAAGAGAGCTGAGCATCACCACCCTCACAACGATGCTTGCAAGCCTGCGTATTATTCCCAACCCAATTCCCCACCCACTCCAAAAGTCACTCTTCCATAAACTGTATCCCTGCTCCAGTGCTACTCATGCTGAATCACCCAGATATCATCCTGCCCTCCAGAGCTTTCATTCTACCTCTACTTGTTATGTCAGTCCCATCCAAAATCCTGGGGGAGCCCATGGAAGAGAGAAGCCTTAGGGTGGTTTCTTCCCCCACCTCATTTTTGCCCAGTGAAATCCCTTTGGCTACTTGCAACAGGGAGGGGAAACAATTGAAGATGTTCTGCTCCTGTTTCTCTTCCCCATCCTAAAGATGATCCCACAATTCTTCCCTAAATTCCTTTGTCAGGAGTAGGAAGTTGTGGCTCTCAGATGTATTGGCCAACAACTCCCATCAGATCCAGACCGTATAACTGACCAAAGGTCATGAATGATGGGAGCTACTCCCAACAATAGTCTATGGGGTACCACCCCTAGTTAACTCATAAAGCTTGGGTGGGCAAATTGGCCCTCCAGATGTTTTGGCCTAACAATTCCCATGAGTCCTAGTCAGCAAAGCTAATGCTCAGGAATGCAGGGAGAGGTTCAGCCAAAACATGTGGAGGCCTATAGGTTCTCTACCCGTTTAAACTGTAAAAGTGATGGGGTGGAGCAGGGAAGCAGGGTTTGTTAGCTTCCCACAACAACTCAGTTGATGAATACGCAGAAATTTGGGGGGATGCTGATATCAGGGAAGGGGAGCAAGGTGTGCAAGAGCATCCTACCTCCCTCCATGCCTGGGACACGGGTTGTATTAAACATGCGTTCGTACTGAGCTGAGCACATGGGCAGGCAACCTTGGATCATCATCTAGGAGATGGGAAAGCAAGGACAGAAAGAAGGAAAAAGAGAGATAGAAAGAGTAGTCAAAGCTTCTGTAAGGGAAAAGGAAAAAAAAAGAAACAGAGCAGGGGAAACACCTCAGCTCCTAGCAACATCAGAAGCTCTTCTGACTCAAAGCCCAGATAACTTTCCCTTCGAACTGGCAGGGTTAAGCATCAGCCCCAAGGGGGCAGGGAAAGCTCAGAGTGCAAAATCCAGGGGAACCGTCTTGACTTTGAGGGGGCGTGCACCAGCCACCATGTAAGCAAGAGCAGGAAAGGGCTGCAAGGAATTCAAAAGTCTGCAAGATCTAGACTAGGAGTGGGTAACCTGTCGCCTTCCACGTGCCTTGGCCTACAATTTCCGTCAGGCCTAGCCAGCAGGGCTTGAAGAGAATTGTAGACCACATCACCTGGAGCGTTACAAGTTGCCCATCCCTGATCTCAGCTGGAGGATTTACCGAATTCAACGTTCTGACAAGTCCATGAATTCTAAAGAACAAAAGTCTTTCTTAAAAAGCCCGTCAGTTGGGAAGATATGCACTGGGTCAGAAAGCCCATCAAGAGACACCGTAAAGCCAAATCACCCTGCATAGAGCTCCACAGCCAGGAGTGTCATGCCTTTCCCTGATTCACTTACCCAGCCCCACCCCAGGTAGGCGGGTGGTATTGAAGAGCCGTTGCCATTGGGCCGAACATAAGGGAATGAAGGAATAGGGGACCATGATCTGTTTTCAGGTGGGAGGGAACCCCAGGATTGGAGCAGGTGAATAGAGGGAACCAAACAGGGAAGAAACTTGTTAATATACTCTGTGAACTTTGCACTGCTATTCAGGAAGGTTAAAAACTCAAGATATAAATACATTTGATGAATAAATAATGAGTCAAGATCGTCAAGCCCATGGAAATTCTAGGCTCATCCTGAAAGAAATGCAGCATGGAGCCTAGAGAGGGATCACAGAGGAAACTAACATGGTGTCCAAGCATCTGTGGGGTTTCAATAGCTCACAGAAAGGGGCTTGCATTTGCATCTTGCACTCAGCAAGCAGGACAAAGCTCTCCACTGCTTTCCAGTACAGGATTTCAGACATTTGTTATGTCAATTTAGTTTGTATATGTGGCAAGTCTCCTGTCCTCACCAGGCTTCTCCCCTCTGCCCATTTATTTCCAGCAGTGGAATGCAGCAAAGCAACATGAGGAGGGGATCTACAGCTGGAGCTCCTGACTCTTTTCCTTCCCTCTTTATATTAAAATAATTGCAAGCACCTCATTTGGTCTGAGTAGCAGCAATGCTGGAGAAGGGAGCGAACTGTATCCCCCCACCACACACACACGCACCCACACCCTATTTGCTCAGTCAGAATTGATCCTCCAAAACAAGACAAGGGACAGAAATAAATGTCCCTGCCTTGTGTTTGCATTGTTTGCTCAGTGGGCCAGAGCTGAGACCATTTAGATTAAGAAAACATTCAAAGAGTGAGGGTAAAAAATACCTTCCTTAAGTGCACCTGCTCCAGTCAAAGTCAGAACCACCTGCAGCTGCTTTAATTTTAAGACAAAGGTGTTGAATCTTAGCGCCAAAGCCAGCCCTCCTATGGTCCCAATCTCACTCTCAAGCTTTCCCTACATGGCCATGCATGCTTCCAACTGGACCAATCCTCTTTCCCCTGACTACCCATTGTTTGGATTTGTCTCCATCTCTGAGCTGTCCCCAGTGCTGCCCCATTCTAAAAGGCTGAAATGCCTTTACTAAGACATAGTTAATGGTAATAAAAACTTCAAGCTAAGCTATGCTGGTGTTTTGGATGGACCCTTTCACCCCACCACTAAGTGCCCCCTACTGAGAACTGCTCTGAAACTGAATGAGGCCCTCAGATTAGAAGAGATTCAACACTTATTTGATTGAAAAAAGAAAAGCGTGGATCTCCCACACCACACCTCCACCTCAGCCCTTTCCCCAGGGAGACCACATGCAGTTCATCGAGTGGCCCTTTGCGAGTCATTGTCTCTAAGCTGCCTTAACTTACCCCAGGGGGTCACCATTGTGAGCTTTGTGGGGAAAGCACATAGGATGCAGATATGTTCTCTCAAGAGTGACGCTGTGGTCTGCCACTATCCCACAGCAGCTGCCACAGTCCATGTCAGCACAAGATTGTCAATGATGTGCCGCAACACAAAAGAGGACATTCCTCTGGTGTGGATATTTTTGGCCTTGGGCCCTTTTTGCTTATTACCAGCTCAGCAGCTCACAGGACTGGGCCCATTAAGAAGAACATAATAAGGAACCAAAAACTGAAAAGGAACCAAACACGGTCCAGCATATTTTGTTGAAAGAGTTTAAACATATTTTTGTTACATGCGGTAAATGAATGCCCACCAAAACGCTCTGTCCCAGGAAGCCCTGCTCAGCTCTTGCAAATTCAGTTTAAAAATACCACTTTCAAAAAAATATGGGAAACAGTTTAAGGCAATGTTCCCCAAGCTGGCACCCTCTAGATGTGTTGGAATGAAACCCCCAGAATCGCAGCCCTGTTTAAATAAAGAGTGACTCTGTGGCCTGCCACTGTACTGCGTCAGCTGCCACAGTTCAGCCCACCTCGAGGGTGCCAGTTTGAGGACTGCTCATTTAGAGTGAACCAGGCATACACTAACTGGTTGTAAAACAATTCTGCACCCAGCTCTCTGTGTGTCTTTCTTCCATGTGTCCCCTCAGCAAGTTCTTAACCACCCCACCTTCTTCTCACTCTGACCTCTGCCCTTCCCTTCCATAAGAAGGAGCTTTCAGTGCCCAGCGGCTCTTTCGCTCCATGAATTTCACTCTCACTAACCGGCTTGATCTCCTCACGGATGAGTTTGCGTCTATACAGCAGCATGGCATAAACAAGGTTCCCAGCACGAGCAGCCTGGATGGGGGTAGGAGTTACATATAGGAAATCCTAAAGAAAAAAGAAAAAGTGCACGGAAAGGGGGAACGTGGGGTGAATAGGTCAGATGAAACCCCCGCCATGACAAAAGTATGTTTCCCCAGTTTCTGAAACTTACCATGGCATAATAGTTGCTATTTACTATCAGAGGTCCCCGCCCACGGAGATACACATATTCTTCCCACCAGTCACTCACCTGAGCAAAAGGTGGGGTCAGAAAGAAAGAATTAGAAAGGTGTGCACATACAAACACATCTCACCACTGCTTGCCCCAGAGAAACCCCTCCCTCTTTAGGAATCACTCACATAGTTGGATGCCCACCAAGACTTAAGCTTGAGGTACCACTGCAGGCGTGGCCCAAGAGTCCGTTCAAAGTCACGGGCAAGACCTGCTGTTCGCTGGAACTCATCATCTGACATCAAGGGTCGTACTGATTCTAAATACTAGTGAGGAAAGAAGAGTGGGATCAGGGGACTACGGCAGGTAAGGCCTGGTCTGCATTCCAGCTCACCACCCTGTCCCACAGCCAAGAGAATCTCTGTCCTTGCATGGTCCCCTGTCCACATCTGCCACTGCTTTGGACAAAGGCAACCTGAAGAAGAAAAAGCAGGGATTCCTGCAGGTTTAAGAGGAAGGAAGAAATGCAGAAACCTCATGAGCACTGATGGGTGCACTGACCATGCATCTCAAACTAAGGGTGCGGGAGAAATCAAAACACATTCAAGTAAGTTTTTATTTCTATGAATCAAACCTGTGGACTCTGCAGTAGGCTGGCTTTTACCAAGCAACAAGTTGCCATGGACTTATTTTTTCAGTTTTGGGAATGGTTTAGGTTAATTCACAATAGCAAAAGCATGTATTTGCACTAACCAAAGTAAGTACATACACAGATTATTGGAAGTAGAATAAAATTTTGGTATTAAAAAATCAATTATGTCAATGAGTGCACAACAGACTGAGAAGCACAGAGGGAACACAGAACTTCAGCTGTGGAGCAGGGTATAGAAATGAAATAAATAATAATAATAAATGATAACAGATTTAGCCAAATCTGTCGGTCCCTACCCAAAACATAGTAGAGGCCAAGTCCAGCACCAAAACTGCTGATGAATTTCCAGTCACAATAGTGGAAAAATGCATCAATTTTGCTTGCAAACAAGATGCATGGAGCTTGTGTGCATGTTTTTAAAATAAGTAGTGCCTGTGAGATGGGGGAATACTAGGATCACAGCAAGCATATAGGGTCAGATTTAACTCCATCCTCCCTTGCTGCAGTTCTGAGTAACATCTCTGTTCTGAAGATGGAATTTGCCTCAGTGGGTAGGACTCCCTCAGTAGTGCCAAAAACTCTCAGCACTTGGAAAACTACATGACAGGGAGAGTTTTAATTTAGCCTTCTCCATGGCATGATACTTCTCTATAAAAAGATTCATTTGTTTGTTCATTTAGTGAAGGCCCCAAATATAAAGTCCTCCACTGTCCGGATGAAGTCACAGAAAAGCAGTATTTTATTTTCCCTGCCTTCCCTCCTCCTGTACCTTTGAATTAGCCCTCTGATGGCTAAATACAGCAGAGGTGGGCAGATTTCAAGCTTGTAGGATCTATTTTTTCCTTCTTTTTATTAGACCCCTCAGTTCTACCAACTAGAACTGGTTACAACTAATGGCTCAAGTGAGTTTATATACCGTAGCAATGAAAGAACAGAGTATCTCTGAGCACATGCTCACTAAAGGAATCTGACACTGTTTCTAGATCAAGCTTTCAAGTTCTAGCATGCCAAAAGCCACTCCTGGTCCCCCATACTGCACCTCCAAACATTATTATCAGCAGGACAATCTGAGGCAGAGGTTGGAGGGGATGCTGGGAATCTTTTCAGTTGTTGCTATTGTTATGACAACTGGTAATCAGTGACCCTTGCAGATAGATTGTAGATAATTCAGATATCTGTTGGTAGTGCCAGTGTGGCTTCTGCTGAACTCTGACCTAGAGAGGAAGGTTGGGGAAGCAAACCAGACTCACCCTCTGCATAGTATCCTTGATGGCTGGAACAGGTAAGCGAGGCAGCGATGCCTGATAGCTGTACAGCATTGGAGTCCGCCCAGCAAAGATTTTCACCAGAGCCTGTGATGGTGGCCACAGGTACAGGGGGACAGAAACATACACAGGCATCAAAACAGAACAGTGCTCCCTTCTCTTGTCTCCATTATCAATCCTAGCTCTACAGCCAGCTCCTTCCTTCAACCTTTATGGTCTAGTTTGCACTGAAGTGCTAAACCTATGACTGGATTCTGGAAGATCCCATACAAGCACTTTATTTTTTAAAATTCTTGATACAGATGTCAAATGAAAGGTTCTGGTCTTCCCCTTTCTTTCTCTTCCTCTTCCTCTCTATGTGTGTCTGTAGGAGCATTTGGTCATGTGAGAAGTAGGCTCCTATGGATATTTCATAGTACAGACTTCGTTGGGGTTTGCCTTCTTATCATACACATCAGAGTTTCTTGCAGTCTGCTTTAGTTGTCTCTCCCTATTTCTGTGCTTGTGGAAATTTCTGAGTGGCCTTTTAAAAATTCCACATGATTTGTACCTGCAGTGCTCCATCCATGTGTTTTCCAGACAACATATTTAACCCAAACTCTTCCCTTTCTGTCAGTATCCCCTAGCCCAGTGTTGCCCAGGTGTCTTCGAGTACCACTCCCATCATCCCCATAGTCCAACACATCTAGAGGATGTAAGGGAGGAGATTGCCCTCTGCCACTTTTCACCATGTGATCACCATGCCAGGTTTCTCCCACTCTGGTTCACTGGCATTACTCTCCAGCCCCCCGCCCCCCACAAACCTTCTGTGCAGGGAGGGCATTCCAGCCCCAGCCACCATCTATGATGAACCTTACGCCATCCCACATAATCCTTCCTGCAGCTGGTACTGGCCAGGTATTTCGGTCAACAACTGCCAGCATCCCTGATCATTGGCCATGCTGGCAGGGATAAATGAGTTTTGTAGCCCTAAGCATCTGGATGGCGCCAGGTGTGGGAAGGCTGAACTACCATATTCCATAATACTCAGTGAGACACCCAAACATAACCAGCACATGTGGCTCACAGATGCAACGCCTGTGCAGCTATGTTCCAACCCTCAGTCCAGGCCCTATGATAGATTTGGACTATGTGTGGTCCTCCAGATGTGTTGGCCTATAACTCCCATCATCCCTCACCACTGGTTCTGCTGGTAAGGGCTGATGGAAGTTGTAGGCCAAAACACTCAGAAGGCCACAAGCTGCACAGGGTTGCCCCAAGATGTAAAGCCGCTTCAGTTCGACTTTATGGGGCAATCGAAGTCAACTTAGCCCCACCTGCTCCACCCCGTTCCACTCTGTGGCATGCTCCTTTTTTTATCCGTCTGCCTCCCAGTATCACGCCATTCCTGCAACACATACCAGCCAGACCTTGGTGGTGTTGGACATCTTGCCATGCTCTTCATACATCCAGCCATGATAGCACAGTAGCATTTTCAGAATGCTGCGCATGGTCATAATGAGGGCCAGCCACAGCCCTGTAGAAAAGGCAAGGGCACTGAGGAAATTCAGGCCCTGATCTGAAAGGTACTCACTAGGGACAACATGGGAGATGAGGAGAAAGGGAAGACATACACACACAGGTTTTAAAGGCAAAAGAGGCCACCTTATAAGAGAAGAAACCCCAATTCTACCCTCTGGCCCTATTTCTCTACACTGCCACACACATAAAATAACTGTAAGGGTAAATACTATCTCCCAACCTGAAGTTTTAAACCAAAGAACATGTGCCCAAATGGGTCAGACAAAGTGTTCAATGTAGACCAACTTTCTTTCACACCATGTCCAACAAGCTATCTTCGAGAAAGCTGCAAATAGGACATGAGTACAGCAGCAACCTCCTGCTCGTGTTCCCTGGTATGCAAAGACACACTGCTTTTGATACTGGAATAGTGTATAGTCATAACAGTCACCTCCAACTTATGACAACCCTGTGAAGGAATATCCTCCAAAATGCCTGTTCAGCTCTTGTAAACCCAAAGCTGTGGTTTCCTTTATGGAATTGATCCATCTCATCTTTGGTCTTCCTCTTATTCTTCTGCCTTTGAATTTCTCCAGCATTATCATTTTCTTCAGGGAGTCTTGCCTTCTTAGGATGTGTCTAAGGTACTAGTCTCCAGTGAAGTGCCATTACTTTTGATAATCTTTTCTCGTTCCTTTGCTGCACTTCCAAGTCTTAGTCTTTTTTCGAATTTCTTGGCTGTACTCTCCATTTGAATTGATGACTAAGCCAAGATATGCAAAATCACAATGCCATTTTCTTCACTGTTGACAGTAAAATGTTGCAATTCTTCTGTTGTCATGGTTTTTGTTTTCTAAATATTTAGCTGCAGTCCTGAATATTTGCACTTTCTTTGTTATCAAGAGTCATTTCAATACACTGCTGCTTTCTGCCAGTAAGATGGTATCATCTACATATCTTAAATTAGTGATGTTTCTTTCTTCAATTTTCACTCCTTCTTCTGATCCTAATCTAGCTTGCCTTCTAATATGTTCTGATACAGATTGAGTAGATAGGAAGATGAAATACACCCTTGTTTGATGCCTTTGCCTACAGTAAACCATTCCGTTTCTCTGCATTCTGTCCTAACAGTGGCTTTTTGACCCAGGTATTGGTTACCCATCAGAACAAACAAGTGCAAAGGTAAACCCATTTCTTTTATGACCAGCCATAGTCAAAGGCTTTGCTGAAGTCCATAGCATAAGCTGATCTTCTGAAATTATTTGATGCACACCAGTAGCTGAAGTATATTTGCGATATGATCTTGAGTGTCTCTTCCTTTTCAGAATCAAGCTTGGATGTCCGACATTTCTCACTCCCTATAGGGTAATATTGTTACAACACTTTGAGTTTGAACATCAGTTTGCTAGCCTGGTAAATCAGTGCAATGGCCTGCAGTTGCAGCATTTTTTTGTATCTCCTTTCTTGGGGATTGGAATGTACATTGAACATTTCCACTCTGTTGCCATAGCCTTATTCGTTGTGAATTTGTCTGTTTCTCTTTTAAAGCTATCCAAATTGGTAGTCAATACGTTAGGTCTACTCATCCAGCAATCAGTCTCCTAACAGTGGTGGAACAGAAGTCCCTAGAAAGCTGATATGTAGGAGGCAACGGATAAAGACAACCTCCACTGGCCCTGAACATGGAAGCCCCATCATCATTATTACATTCCATTACATTTTATGTTCATCTAAGATAGAATCATGGTCTATAAGTGTTTCAAAAGCCATTGGAAGCAAGTGGTTATTGTATTAGTGTCTTGTGCCAATTACCTAACATGCTTTCCGAATCATATGATCATTCAAGTTATCTGATAATCCAGAGTTCTAAAGTCTGGAGAGGAATCTCATAGCCCCTAGACATCATCTGGGAGGTCAACAGGGTAATTTGGACACTCAGATCCAGTATTAAAAACAAAGCTCTGACTTCAGATCTGGGAATCCATGCTCCAGTCTCCCTCCCTGCTTTGCAGCCGGCATGGAAAGAACCACAGAGGCTGCCTCAGGCAATTGACCTTGGAGAAGGAGTAAAGGGGGCAAGGAGGAGAGGAGACTGGGTTTGCCATCGTGTGATGCAGCCTGATGACACTTCAGCCTCCCTCCTTCCCATCCCTCTGAAGCCCTTCAGCTGGATGGCTGACCATCTGGCTGAAATGCAAAGCAGGAGCCACACGCAGGCTGAGACTGACTCTTGTATTCCTCCTGCTCGACATGCGATGCTTGCAAGTCTCTGAACTGGGGATTTACAGACACAGAAGATGCACTCAACTGGATTGTGCCCTAAATAATTTCTATTATAAGACTGAATCTTATGCACACTTACATGGGACTATGAGAATTATTTATTCACGTATCTGTCTTGTTAATCATATTTGAAGGCTCAGATGCAGTCATGATTTTTCAGATGTAGGCAAAACAATGCCCTCTCTTTCAGATCCTTTTATTTTCTCCCATAGAAGTCAATGGGAGCCATCCACTTTTATCGGTGAATGTAAATATAGCTTGTCATACTGACAGTTCATAAGTTCATAAACTTCTATGGTAACCACATTAACACCACAATTTTTTGAGCTCCTTGTTCTTCTCCACCCCACCCCCACCAAAATAAATAAGAGTACTTTTGAAAGCACATCAAAATGTATCACATGCAGTCATTAGATTAGGAGATGTATCCAAATTTACACTGCATCAACCATGCTACCAGAAACAGATTCCCCCACCCCATTTCCCATGGCAACCCTCCAGCCCCCCAAGAGTCAGAAGATCTTGCTGAGTGAGGTGAGCTGTGCTGCCAGGAAGAAGGATCCCCCCAAGTTGGGCAGAGATTGTTTCTGCAAGCAAAACTTTGTTCTTGCAAAAGTTCCCTTCTTCTCATGGAAGGCAGATCCTGGTTCCAACCTTAGGACTGCAAGCTTTAACTGACTGTTCAGATTAATTGATTAAAAACATGATTGGGGACAACTTCCAAAATTAACAAAACATTCAGTCTCCTTCTGGAGATTAAAAGTGTGAACTTCAGGTCCAGGTCTTTGTGATGTCTCAACACATGTAAATTAAGGATGCAATCCCACACAGGTAGAGATGGGAAAAAGTCCTACAGCTCCCAACACAACCCAGTGAGTAGCATGCTAGGAAGTGTATGAAGTTTTTCTGTCTGATCATAGATAGGATTGTACCTTAAGTTTGCTTTAAAGGATAAGCCAGGATCTGTCCAAACAATCTGAACCTCCACTGCAGGGGTGGAGAAGCTCAGGCCTGGACATCAAATCTGGGTCCCAATATGGCAATCCACAGATGAGCATGTCCCCTCAACGAGCTAGGACCTTTTCACAAAGCAGTTCATCCTTTGGAGGTTTCTTGGATGTAGTGCTGAGCCTTCCCATTCCGAAAAGTTGAAATGCCATTTCTCAATTACTGTTCATAAGAGTTTTAATCTAAAATAAGATGGTATTTTAGATTGTGCCCTTTTGACTTTGCTTTCCCACCATCACTGGATTGCCTCCCCACATCCAGCTTATCTGAAACAGATTCAGCCCTTGGGTTGAAAGAGACTCATGCTTCTTCAAAAAGCACTTAAAACTGGCTCCTCAGAGTCACCCATCCCCTTTCCCTCTCCAGCTCCATACCTGACTGGCAGGTGTTCCTTGATCTTTTCAATCATGCCCATTGAGGGATCAAGACGAGAGTACTGGGTCACCAGGATGGCAGTAACCATGAACAGCCAACTGGAGGGACTGGCTGGGTACACACCTGTCACAAATCCATTCTGTGTGGAAAGTTCACAAAAAGACTGATATGAAGGGTGGGGTAAACTAAGAAGAATTTTGGCTGACTTCACACTTCTGTAATTTTTGAAGGCGTATAGTCCCTTCCATGGAAAAAATGGCTCACAAGTTGAATCTCTGCCCAGTTCACCAAATTGCCCATTTCTTCCCTTCCACTAGACTCTTGGCAAAATTGTTGGTGTTGTGAGTGAGTGAGTGAATGAATGAATGAATGAATGAATACCAACATTGGGTTCTTTTCTCAGAGATGGGGAAAACAGTATTTTATCTCTTCTATTTGAAGTAGAAAGCTCTCTGAGATAAAATTGTTTCCACATTTCTAATTTAATTTTGCTATACACAAATTTGCAACTTAATGTACTTTTTAATTTTTATTAACACCTATTCTTTTTTAACAAGATGTTTAGGTGGAAATATAGCTTTGCAGTGTTAAACTGTGCTGAATGTGTGTTGTACAGTTTGATGCTAAGTTATAGTGCACGTTCACTTTAAACAGCGGCAGCGACAACAGATCTCAACACTTTATAACCTGAATGATCCATCAGTTTTTCATGTTTGCTTTTGTCCCTAGCGAATAACTGTTCCAAGCTATAAATCTGGAAGTAACTCCTGAGTAATATGATTTACACAAGAACTCTCAGCACTGTTTACTTTCTGCTCCTAAAATTTTAACCATTCATAGTTAGGATGGTTACACAGTGGCAAAGGGACAAATTCCTTCCTATTCTTTTACTACATATTATTGTGTAGGGAGATGGTAAGGGAATATGATTGTTACATTACATTTATAGTCTGACTTTTTTCCTTTTGCAAGGAACCCAAGGTGGCTTAGTCCTCTTCCTTTCCATTTTATCCTCATAATGATGCTTTAAGCTGAGAATCGGTAACTGGCCCAAGTGAAGACTAGAACCCTATCTCCTAAGTCCGAGTCCAACAACTCACCTGAAAAAATATATAGGATTGTATAAGATTTACATGGTACATTTAAGTGCTCAGGAATACCATCCTATGAAATCCTGACATTTTCTAAAAGATCAAGTCCCAGTTCCAAGGTCCTATGACCACGAAGCTGGAAATCTGAATGCAGAAGCCCTGCCCCACCTCCTTGCAGCTGGCACAGAAAAAAAAACTGGCTTTGGAAGGGTTGAAGGAGGATGCAGGAGAGTGGGAAGGGGAGGAGGCTCAGCATGACAGCTTACACCCTATGCAAACAGCACACAGCTTCCTCCTCTCCCCTCTGTGGTGCTTCATCTAACTAGCTGAAAGCAGCTATCTAGATGAAATGCAGAGCACAAGGCAGCAGATGTCACCACCACTGCACCACCTGCTCCACCCTGGATGTTGGGAGGTTAACAAGCATCACGCCTAGAAGATATTACAGTATCCCTCCACACATGTGCGCACACACACACAGAGAATGCTAAATAATGATGCTTAACATTTGTACAGAGCAGCCTTCCTAAACAGGTGTTCTTCCAGCATATTGGGGCTACGATGCCTATCAACCACAGCCACAGTTCTCTGTGCTGACTGGGGGTGGTAGGCGTTATAGTCTAGCACATTTAGAGGGTGCGGCCAGTTGGGAAAGGCTGGCATGGAGATTTTGAGTGCTCAAAATGCTTCACATATGCTACCTTGTAATAAGCCTTCACAACATATCTTTCAATTTAAGATTAGTGTTCCCTGTATTCTAATATTGCAGATGTGGGGGGGGGGGGCTTAGACTGACTTGCTTAACATATAAGTAGCCATTAGAAGAACCTGCTACGCTACACCAAAACTATCTATCTCTGCAGTACAGATGCAGATAGTGCCACCCAATTAATTTGAAGATTATTGAATAAAGAACCAGACTGTGGCAGTTACTAAACATGAATCATTGTAGAAAAAAACAGTAAAGAATCCTTTTTGCATAACAAATACTCTGGTAAACCTTTGGCTAAACTCCAAGGGGCCCATAACTAAAATGTCAGCAACGTTCGACTCCCAGAACCCTCTATTTCACTTTGGCCAAGTATTAATCTCAGCAAGAATCCACAAATTCCACTTCCCATTCTGACCACAGCCTCAACCTGCTGGCTTCATTTTCTTCCAAGAACCCAATACATGTTCTTCCTCATAAAACCAATGCTTTTTCCTCACACTCAGTACTCCTAAATTACAATGTAATTCTTTTGTTAGACTGTTAACATGGAAGATTTGGGATTCCCAGGAGTAAATTTAGTAAGATTTAGTAAGAATTTAGTCACAGCGTGGGAGTGCTCCTCGACCCAGAGCTGTCATTAGAAGCTCAGGTGACAGCGGTGGCGAGGAGCACCTTCCTTCAGCTTCGGCTGATCCATCAGCTGCATCCCTACCTGGAGAACGATTGCCTGGCAACAGTGAAACATGCATTGGTAACTTCCCAATTAGACTTCTGTAACACTCTCTACATGGGGCTGCCCTTGAAGACAGTCCAGATACTTCAATTGGTGCAAAACAGAGCTGCCAGGTTGCTGACGGGGACTGGGCGTTGTTCTCATATAACCCCAGTCCTCTGTCAGCTTCACTGGCTTCCCATTGAAGTCCGGGCCCAATTCAAGGTGTTGGTTATCACCTATAAAGCCCTCAACGGCATGGGACCTAGTTATCTAAAGAAACGCTTGCGTCCATATATGCCCTCCCGCCCCGAGATCGGCGGCAGAGGCCCTTCTCCGGGAATCCTCCGGGAATATTAGGAGGGTGAGTACCCGGAAGAGGGCCTTCTCTGCAGTGGCACCCCACCGATGGAATGCGCTCCCCAGAGAGGTCCGCCTGGAGCCATCGTTGTTTTTTGGCACCAGGCCAAGACCTTTTTATTTAAAAGTTATTTTAATTGTTAATTGACTATTTATTGGGCTTTATATTGTGCCGAGATGTCTCCGAATTTTAAGGTTAATTGTGTGTATTGTGTCTGCTTTGTAAGCTGCCCTGAGGCTCTTTGTGAATGGGGCAGCATAGAAATGTTTTAAATAAATAAATAAGATTTGACAGCTGGGTTCTCGGCACTCGGGGTATAATGCTATACATTTAGTCAGAAAAAGTCCTACAACTCCTAGCATTCCCTAGACAAATGTTGTGAGTTGTGGGACTTTTTTGTTGTTTAAACATACATAGAACTGTGCCCTCAAACATCACCACAAAACAGCCTTTGATTCTTGAGTTTTTAAACAGCTATCTGCTGCTTTTATCTCACCCGGAGCTGGTTGAATTTTTTCTTCCAGGATCGCAAACCCGAGAGATAGACTTCCTTGATAGCTGCATGGCTCAACTGAAGGTCAATGCCCTCTGGAGAGACAGTGAATTGGAATGCCACAGCTTGGTGAGCTTCTGCCATCTTGGAAAGGTGCTAGCTTGTTGTTGACTAAAGGGAGGGGGAAGAGAGAGAGAGAAACATGTCACATAAGCCTACACTACCTCCTCGTCAAATGTACTTTTTTAGTTTAACTTGTGGGGACATTTATTTATATACTAACAAACAGACCCAGCTTCCCATGGGTTGAAATAGCTCTCAGTTTCACACGTGGAACCCTTCAAGCAAATTTATACAGCTGTCATTGTGTGTTCTCCATCCAATTGAAGCCACACCTGCTAGCATGCCAAGGGGCAGTTCCTGTCATAGAGCACTCCCGTAGCCCCTAAGGGGAGAAGTCTACCCACTTCACTGCCCTGGGGAGGGCTGCCCCACAACAAGAGAGTGAAGACAGGCACATAGCTCTGTATTTCAGTATAATAATCTCCCTTGGCTTCAAAACCAGAGATTTCCTATTTATATGCAACTTGGGGAAGTTTGCCTCTAGTGGCTGAAGATGTTAATGCAGGCTTCAACTACATGGACACATTAAAATTAAGTAATCTGTGTAAAATTCTCTGAGCTGCATACCTCTAGGGTCCCTTTAGAATGTCGGACAGGTTTTAGGAGTCCAGTTATCATGGTTCTGGCACTATGGCACTGACTGATACATGGACATACATCTCTTTTATTAATATAGATGTTTAGAATTTATATCCCAGCTTTTGGTACCAGCTTCAAACCAGATTAGAACAATAAAGCAATAAAATGCAATGTTTTCAAAACAGCAGTCACATCACAAAATAAATGCAACAGAGACAATACCTAAAACCCATTAAGAGCATTAGTAGCATTAAAAGTACAGAACGAGATAAGTTTCACATGGTCCTTAAAGACCAATAAGATGGTGCCAGGAGAACATACTTGGAAAGGGCATTCTACACATGTATACTCCACCACAGAAAAGGTTGCTCTCTCCATTAGTCAACTGCCTAGCCTAAACTTGGAAGAAAATGGCACCAAAGAAGGATCTCTGAAGATCATCATCCACAGGCAAGTTCTACACGAGAGAAAGCAGTCCTTTCCACTGAGTGAACATCAATTTAAGAAGTGTCTTTGAAGTGCTGGATTGCCCTGAAGTACTACCTTCAGCAGTATGAACACGCCCATTATTGAAACTAGTTTTCATACATTCTTCATACATCCACCAATAAAATCAGTTAGGTTGGTAGCATTAAAAAAGGGCCTTTTCCATGGTGACTCCATGTCTATGGAATTCTTTAATTGAAATTCATATGGTATCCTGCAACAGCAGGAGGTTGGACCCAATGGCCTTCATGGCCCCCTCCAACTCCACTATTCTATGAAAATGGCAGTTTTTGAATCCAGGGCAGGTATCGGGGTAGGCCTTGCTGGACTGCTGGGACCCTAACAACTAATTGAGAATGCTGTCTTCCAATGGCCACAAAATCACCAACATTTGCAATGCCCCTTTAGCTATAATAATGGGTTTTTTGCTCTGGCCTGTCCCAATCTTAACCATTATAAACTTTTTCTTTCTGGCTTTCCCCTGCCATGTCCTACCTATCCTCTTCTGTGTCTAACACAAACACCTTCTTACGTTTAAAGTTTCCCTCAGCTTTGACCTACCCTCACTTTCAGCCCTTTGTTCTCTTTATATTCCATTTCACCACCTCCAGTTCAATCATCCTCAGCTACACAAGGGTATTTCTGTCATCAGCACAACATTCTTCTTCACTGCTCCCTGCACATGGGACACCATTCCTCAACATGGACCTGGTGCCACCATGGGGCTCTTTCTCTTCCCTTACTCCGAAACCTACCTTTTCCATGAGGCCCTCTGGCTTCAGCCCTTATTCCTAATTTCTGACTAAGGCTGCTTCCAAGAGGTTGAATTGGACAAGGGAAGTCGTAGGCCTTCTATCTAAACATACATAGAATTGTGCTTTAGTAGCAAGCCTTTTCTCTGTCTAAACTCACATAGGACTGAGCCTTAAAAGTATCAAAAACAAAAACAAAGGAGAGATGTTAATGCTACTACCCCAAAGTCAGCTGGGAGAAGGATCTCAGCAAGTAAGATGGATCTACCTTTTTCTAGCATTAGGCGAGAAAACCCAAATAGCAGGAATTCCACAACAAACCCTGGCATTTTCTGAGGAAACAAATGGAGGAAATTGCTCCCAAAAAGGGGGCTTGGGTCTCATGCACAAAAATGTCTCCATGCTTCCTGCTAGATGCAAGCTTGGCTGCTATGGCAACTCTTACCAGGCAATTAAAAGGAGCAGCAGGAAATCTGGCAAAGACTGGAGTGTGAACACCTGGTCTAGAAACTCAGGAATGTTATTGTGCAGTTTTAACCCCTCCTCATGTGCAGCCCCAGGAATCTTCTCCCTTGACAATGAGAAGCCTTTTTTAAACCTGAGAATCCAGATAGCTTTGGCAATTGGGCAGTATAAAAATTTAGTTAACAAAACAAGCACATCCCCAAATCCTGCCTCTTAGCCACAACTGGACCCCGCCATGCCTTGCAAGAGGAATACTGAATCTTTTTCAACCTGAGGACCAAATTCAATTTTAATACAGCTCTTGGGGGCAGGGATGAAGGCAAAGGGGCAGAGGGGTTTTAAGAGAGGGATTTCAACCTTGCAGAATGGTGGAGTGGGAGGGGTTGCCCAAAACCTGGAGACCACCAAACAATTCTGAGGAAAAGGGGAACAAGGCATGGCCTTCTGGGAAACTATGGAAGTCCTGACTGGAACCCCAGGCAGGCCAGATTTGGTCTACAAGCTTCAGGTTCAACACCCCTATCCAACAGAGCCCAAGAATTCTGGCTCTCAAACCTTCTTGTTATCTGTACCATCTTCAAAAATGCACTGAGAATAAAGTGAAGAGAGGGACATTTCATAGATGGTGTTACCTTGTTCTCTTTTCTAGTTGTTAGTGGACTACCACCCCACACGCCCTATGGAATCCTCTTCCTTGTATATACAGTACAAATGTGGGATTGTGCTGATTTCATTGGCAAAGCCAATGTGAGGTCATAATATAACGTCTGGAAGGTTTGGGTGAGGAGGAATGCTGGAAATATCAAGTAACACTGGTCTACAAGGAGAAAGCCTCAGAAATGAAAGTAGCTAAATTTTACCAGAATTGGGTCACTAATAAGGGAAAATTAAGTCTTGAGTATTAATTGGCTCTAGTTTCCAAGATACAGCTTCAGGTCAAAATTGCATCAAAATAATTCAAAACTACAGGGGTGATGTGCGATTACGCTCCTTAACTTTTCTGCAAAAAGTGATAGAGCAATGAGAATGGTAATTTAGTTCACTCTGTGAAATTAGATGTGATTCAGGAGGAGCACATGGTAGGTTAAAGTTTGGGTCTGCTGACATCGACGGCCCTGGATCAGTTGCATCCTGCTCATCATCTTTATCATCATCTGAGTCTAGACAGTAGGATTCTGGTGGATCTGGAATTAGCAAGTCCTCACCACGGGGTACAGGACACAGCACAGATGGAATGTTTGGATATTCCACAGTCCACTTCTTTCTTGAGATCCCTTTTGCAATTGGGGAAACCATGCAAAAATAGCAGTCACTACTATGATTGGTGCGTTCCCTCCACACCATTGGGACTGCGAAAGGCATGGACTTTTTCTTCTTGTTTAGCCAGTGACACAGATAAGTTGCACATGTAATGCAACAATGAGGGACCTAACTCTTGTCCTAATCCCTTATTTTGCATCCAAAATATAGGTGGTATGCCTTTTTTACCACTGCCATCATACTGCACTTTTGAGATGCAAAAGTAACCTCGCCACAAATGTAGCAGAAGTTATCTGCGTTGTTTACACAGTTTCCAGGCATCTTAGCTTCTGAGGAAAAATATCACGCAACTGTTCCTTGGAAATGTAGGCAATGACACTTTCACAAGCCACCAGATAAAACTGTATGATGCACAGATCTGACCAAGACAAATGTACCTTGCAATAAAAGAACAAAAGATTACAGCTAGGTAATAACCTTTGGTCTCAAAGTGAAGATACATTTATACACTTCCATGTGGTACTATTTTCGTTGTTCTACTGTACTTTGTTGAGAAGTTACGAGGCATCATGATCATCGGACACCTCCCTCTCTTATAGGCAAATATATGTGCCCGTGTATAAATCTTTATTCTGAACTACCATGAAAACTAGCCAATCAGCACCTTTATCACCTGTTTTCTAAGCCATCTAATCAAAATATGTAAGAATTAGCACATTTTATCTCGGAGGTCGATAATTTCCCAAAATTTGTAGACCAGTGGTAATGAGACCACAGACAGGGACACAAACCCTGGAAAATGAGGAGAGGGTCATGCAAGTGGTCATTAGAAAGTATCATGAAATGAAATGTGCATCCTTTTCTCTCAAGGGGATTTCAGGACCAATGCGGGAATCATATTTGCCCCTAGAATTTGCACCTAATGTACCAGGCTTTAACTGATAAGGGTGTGGGTAGACTGGAGTTAAGCAGTCATTAAGGAATAGTGAGTGTGGACAGAGCTGGTCCAGGAATGTTGCTGTCGGAGGCGAAGGACAAGATGGTACTCCTCCTCCATACAGAAGCCAGCTGGGCCAGCAGCTCAATCTTACTTCAGCACTAGTGATGGAATCAAACAAGATACGTGGCACAAATAGCTCCATCTTCAGAGGGGAACACCCAGGGCCTCAGGAAAAACAGCTGAGGAGCTGTTGGCATGGCCCTCACCCCCAACGTTTGTGGCCAGAGGTACTCTAATGGTAGGAACAGCCCTGCGTACAGAGCAGGGAAAATATTATGGCACCTCAGTAACAGAAAGGTACGATGGGTCAAGATTTAACAGCTCTTTTCCATGTTTATATGGACACCACTATGCCCACACATGCCTCTCTTGGTGGCCATGAAGCCTCTTGCCTTGCCTCTATTTTATTCCTAAAAGGTGATGCTTGCTTGGAGCACTTCAGATGAAAGCACTACCACCCACCCACCCACCAATTTTATTCTCACAATGCCTCTGATTCTACATGGACCTCAGGGCATTCTTAGTAGGAATTAAAGATAGTGAGCAACTGCTGGTCAGTGCTTTGTTTTGAAGCACGCAGGCTCACGCACATCCAAAAAAAGCAGGCAGTGACCAGGTTACTGCTGCCAGAAGAGTGGGGAGGCAGTGGAACAATCAAGAGAGGGCTGCTGGTGACCCTCCAGAATGCGGTAAGTACTACAGAATAAAAGCTGCAGAGAGCAACAGGAGGGGTTGAGGACCCTGCAGAATGAATGACTAGGATAGAAAACAGAGTGGGAGCAAAGGTGTGTAAGAGGTGAGTGTTGGATTTGCAGAGTAATCCTGAAAGGGGTAGAGAAATGAGTGATTGAGCTGTGTAGATGCTGAGTGCTGGAGCGCTGGGTTTCTCTGTGTGTGTAAATCCTGAAAGAAAGAGAACTCTGGTTTCAAAGGAGCAGTTTTGTGTTTTGGAGTCCAGATCCTACCTCTGCTTTGTACTCAGGATCTGTGACACGTTAATTTACCTCTTTG